GAAGAGCGTGTGAGGTGGGACTCACGGAGAACGGGTCTGCCACGGCGTCCCTGGGGGTGACGCTGCCCTGGGGGAGGGACTGATGTCCCTGAGGGGTCAGGACAGGGCGTCCCCCATTGACGAGCTTGTGCCTCTCCCATGCCTTAGACTTGGGCTGGCCGCTGGGGTCTGCGGCCCGCTCTTGTTTGGGCCCAAGTCCCTGGGGTGCTGAGTCCCCTCCTCCTGCACTGTTACCCTGAGTGCCCTTGGCGCCCTGTCCCCTTCCTCCTGTTGTCATGGCAGACGGATCTGTGGCAGCCGGAAACATCTGGGGCATTCTGAAGCAGGGTGGGCGCAGCCCGCGGGGCCCCAGCGTCGAGGGCAGGCTTGGCCTGGCAGCCCCTGAGGTCTCGTCCCTTGGCGAGTTTGGAGGAGTTTGGGGTCCGCTGGACGTGCACTTGGGGGGACCTGAAGCCACGGGGGCTACGGGAGAGGCTACCTCCCTGTCGCAGCTCTTTCGGTCACCCCAGCTGTGTCCCTGCACCTCTCCCTGAGCTCTCGTGTCACACAGGACCCTACCCTGCATCTGAGGCCGCCCCACGGGCAAGAGGCGGCATCTGAGCAGAGTCCCCTCCCTCCTGCTCTCTGGGAATCAGCCACCGCGCTCTGCCTCCTCTGATTCCCGCTCAGGCAGGGCCCTTGGGGCGAGGCACGAAGCCAGCCCCAGCCGAGGTCGAAGGGGTTCCAGAGAGCTGGCCTGCCTGATAGTCAGGAGGGTCCCGGGGAGGGCCCCGGCGGTTTCCAAGGACGCCGAGCGAGCTGGCACCATGGCCGTGCACTGCATGCCCCGCGGGCCGATGGCAGAGGAGGGGGCGGCCTCTGCCTTGGGGTGGACCCAGAGCGCGGCAGACGCCCCGCACCTGCGCCGTGGGGGGTCAGTCTCAGTCGCAGAGTCCACGGATGTTTCCGGTGGTGCCACTGACTGAGGGCTCGGGCCCTTCTTTCTCTCGGATGTTTACAGAGCCTTGAGATTTTCTGGAGGACCCAGTGAGGAAATCATCACCGAAATGCTTATTAAATTTGTTTTCTAAGATTTTAAACTTCATTTTACTAAATACACTAATTTTTTGGTAAGTATTTTTGGCAGCTTTACTGACATGTAATTCACACACCACGCAGTTCATTTGTTTGATGTGGACGACTCCGTGGTTTTGTGACTGTCACCTGTCGATTTTAGAACATTTCCTTCTCCCCAGAGCCTTGCACCCCTTGGTCGTCACTCCCCTCCCCAGCCCCTGACACCCACTCGCCCACTCCCTGTGGGTGGACGCGCCTGTTCTGGACGTGTCACGTCAGTGGGATCACACTGTGG